GGTCTGTGGACCACACTTTGAGTAACAAGGATCTAGACTGTACTCCATGTTAGAGAGAGAAGGATGCCCATGAATCTTGTTGAGATCTACCTGGTATCTCACACACCTGGCAAAAGTAACTTCTACTCAGTAGATGCACAATATATATTTGTTGAATGAATGAGAGAACTCCCTGTGTCTAAGTTTACTATTAGCTATAGCAGACATGTCCTAGAAAAATCCAGAGATTATTTACAAAAAAAAAAAAAAAAGATAAAGCTTATTTTAGTCTTCCCATCTGACTTATATCCTCATTGCTGTAGTCCCTGCACTCATGGGCTAGTGCTAATATTCATGGCTGGTGTAAGAATCAGCAGGGTGGGCACATTGGGTAGATGGCTGCTAGGGGTTCAATTCCAGTGGTTTATTTATTAGTTGCTCATCAAATACCTATTTTGCATTTACTGGATGATAGATGTACGTACAATAGTTTTGGGTATGAATCTTTAGGAATTATGATCTATAATTTATGTACAAAATTTTTATAAATATTATGAATATGTGGAAAGAAATGATTTGAAAGAGATGTTCAATTCAGATGTTTTTTTCTAGCTAATGGAGAAAGAAGCAAACACATTTCAGCTATTTGTTTCTTCTGAAAATTTTTCCCACATTCTTACAGTCCTTAACCAAAGTATGGTATAAAAGCAAAACAATTTCATGCTTGTCCTTTCTCAAGACTGTTTGAAAAATGTCGCCTGAGACATGAAGTGGTGAGTTCTGGGGGCATGGGAGTCTACATCTGTTCTTTCACTGCTCTGGGCTCAGAGCAGGCTCTCAGTACATCACTTTTGAGTGACAGAAGCTGACAAGGTGATCCGGATATTTAAGCCCCCAGTTATTTTAAATTGGGGGCAATCATGGCAAGTTTTGAAAAATCCAAATCATTGTTTTGACTCTTCACTTTAGTATATGACCCTGAGCTTAATGTGATCATTGAAGTCCTAATTGTTTTTTCCAAGAATTGACTTCTAGAGGAAGAATACTGGGAAGAATCAATAGTTTGCTATGGGCCTTCCCAGAGCTGTTAATGCTAATATGCACTGGGAATTCCCAGTAAGTATTTCTCAAACTTATTTGACCCTGCAACCCCCTTTTCATGGAGCATTTGGGTTCTGCAGACTTTGGGAAAAGCTGTTCTATATTGTATTTCACTTTCCTTGTTTCTGAGGAAGGGCCACAATTATCTGCTTTGAAAGCTCGTTTATTTGTGAAACATAATCTAGATGAGTATTTGAAGATCACTACATAAATTATTTTAAAATGTCAGTTATAAATAACAAGTAGAGATGTTCAGATGAAGAAAACTCCTTGGCGATTGGGAGTAAAATGTTGCTCTCCCTTCTAAAACTCCAGTTTTCACGATGTTACACCATATCTTCACTTTAGTTTTTTTCTCTCTATTCTAGATCAATGTCTAGAATCACTGAGCATGTGCATTTAGTATCCACTTTGAAAGACAACATCCATATACCACATTGAGCCATATCAGGACTTGTGAGGTAGTTTTCTTCCATAGTCTTCCTCAAATATATAAGTTTCTAGTCATTTATCTTAGTTTTAGATATTTTTTAAATAGAAAAAGGTAAAATTTCTTTTCCCTAAATTCCTCAGACTGAGGCAGTTGAAAAGCTGTGACCATGACAGTCATTTTATTTGCCTTTATTTTCCATGCTTATCTTTCCTCATGTCTTTCTCTGGCTCTGCATTTTGACTATCTTCTTGGGCACAATCAATATACCATGTAGTATATATATGTATTTTGTATCTGTTCTCCTCTGTGAATCTTAATGATATTCTCTCTCCTTTTCTCTGTGCTCATAATTTCAGGTATGAGTTCTGTTGCTCTTGAAATTGACTTCTTATTATAAGAACAGAGGTATAAATAAGGACAGAAAAACTAGATCTTTATTACAGTGACTTCCACAATACCCATTTCTCTTTTCTTTCTACTTCTTCTTCTTTTTTTTTTTAGTATTTTGGGACGCTTATGGGTAAAGGAAAAAAGAAGTTTGGGAGGAAAAAGAAAATTTGGTTAATTTAAGAAAATTAGTAAAAGTTAAAAATATTGTTTTTAAAATGTGTTTCACCATTTGGTGAAATTTTAACTCAGATGTATATAGGCCAAGAAGATTTTCCATGTTAAGAAATGTTCTATCTTAACCCCGTTCTGATCTTTCTTTAGCAGTATATAATTTTTTAAAGTCCAGTGAAAAGCTCCTTCTAATCCATTTAGAAGCTGGCAGTTGTGGTCATTGCTAACTAAAGCCTCAGGAGTTGACTGAGAGGAAAGCTGAGGGTTTCTTCTCCCCTTGCCTACGTGATTGAAATTCTACCAAGTGCTATCAAAAAATTAAGGTGTTAAGATGTGAGGACTACAAAGTGTTGCAGTACACACACACACACACATATTTGTACATGTATATATGTGTATACATACATATGTATAAATATGGTCACTTTAGACTTGGGTCTGAAATCCCAGGAGATTTTATATGAGAAAAGCAGGGATGTCAGCCCTTCCTTTCACACTTAACTTATAGTTAATCTCTTGTACAGATTGTACATAGATATTTGTAAATGCTGAAAGATTGTATCTCAATAAAGAGAAGAAATCTACATCCTATTGATTAGAGTTTTAATTGATATCTATCTTTTTGTATGTTTTAAAGTAATAGTATAATCTTAAGGCTTTCATGGGTATAAATAAAAATGTTAATAGTAGGTATATCTGGGTGATGGGATTGTGGACAATCATAATTATTTTATCTATATAGCTTTTCAAGTTTTCTATAATGAGCATCTCTTCATTTTATAGTCAGAAAAATGTTGCTTTAAAATGACTCTCATTTATTTAGGAAGGCTCTTATGAACATTTAGAAGTTCTTTTTCCACAGCCTTTTCATTATTACTGCTCTTTTTACCTACAGAGTTCTCCTAGCTCACAACTCAAATGAGCCGCTAAGGATGACTCCCTAAATTCATCAGCTTAGGCTGCTGTAACAAAATACCACAGACTGGGTGGTTTAAAAAAACAGAAATTTATTTTCTCACAGTTTTGGAGGTTGGAAGTCTGAGATCAGGGTGCCAGCGTTCTGGCAAAACGCTGGTTGGGTTCTGGTGAAAGCTTACAAACTGCCCCTTCTTGTTGTGTTCTCACCTGGCAGAGAGACAAGAGAGAAAACAAACTCTCTGGTGTCTCTTCTCATGAGGGCACGAATCCCGTCATGAGGGTCCCATCCTCATGATTCCATCTAACCCTGATTGCCTCCCAAAGGCATCATCTCCAAATACTATCACATTATGAGTTAGGGCTTCAACATACGAATTTTGGAGACACGTAGACATTCAGTCCCTAACACTCCCTTCATTCAAACTGGCAGGATACAAGAGTTTGAGAAATTACATCCAAAATAGAAAAAGACTGGCAGGTTATACATAAAAACATTAATGATGATTATCTTTGGATGGTAGAATTAGAGGGGATTTTCTAGGAATTTAATGTGTGTTACTTTTATAACTGGAAAAATACAATAAATATTTTTAAAAGAAAATGAATGTAACAATCCATAATAATCTTGCAAATTTCAGAATCTTTTTATGTCCTCTTCTTGGGGTTTTTCTGAGAATTAATAAAAGTATCTCCAGCACTCAGGTATTGGCACATGGTGGAGCTCAATAGCTAGTTGTTGCTGCTCCTCGGTTTCCTCCTTTTAATGATGATGACAATGTTAATGATAATAATGATTATTTTATTGCCACATGAGACATGCCATCGGGCATATAATATGGGAAAATAAAATAGAAAATAGCCACAAAATCAGGACAGGCATATTTGTTGCAAAGTTTTTTCTGTGAGTCAGTTATAAATAGAATAGCCCATTCATTGTCTTTACTTTTGGAACTCTTGGTAAAAAAAAAAAATTGGGCTGGTGGCTCCTCACTTACATTCAATTACAAATGTAATATAAGCTCCTGAATCTGTACAATAAAATGGGAGCTAGATGGTGACAGTGAGAAAACTTAAAGTCAAACTTGCAACGTGTGTCATTCCAAAGACTGATTTGAGTCTCATACCTGAGGTCACGGAAATGGTTTTTTCCCGTATAAGAGCTCTCTTTCTTCCTTACTTTCTAATGCATCATTTCTTTTTATGCTCTATCTTGTATGTAGAATCTGTCATTTACTTTTTTAAAAAAAATTCTCCATGGTTGTTTTTTTCTCTAGTAATCCCACATTTGAGTGTAATATTTCTAGTCTTTTAACTCTGTAAATTGATAGGTTAGAAATGCCCTGCAAGGTAGTAATGTTTTTTGTCATGCAGGGAGCTGACTGCTGGCCAAATAAATCATGATGTTGTGATATATTATTTCCAGTGGCTATAAATTTTCGATATTTAGTGTATCAGTCTTACTCAGTCAAGATTCAGTTATTTAGTTTCACTTATGTCTGTATTTTAGATGGGAATCCTTTTCCCCATTAGAAGATTTTAATTTCCTTCTCTGTCAGAGTCAAATTCCAAGCATGCCTTATAAAACCAGCCACAGAATATACACATGAACAAACCGTTTTTGTGTTTACAAGTAGACTCAAAAATATACACTGATAAATTATATCTGAAATTACAAATTTGTCCACTTCAATGGTGTTTTTGTTTTTTAACACTTTAGATTACTTTTATCTCTGTTGCTTTGGTAATTTGATTCCCAGATATTAGACAAATGCATCTAGGTAACTAATTGCATTGTATTGACGCATGATCTTTATTGGGAGCTTAAAAAATAATCTCACAAATGATCATCAGAAGTGAAAAAGAATTGTTCTGAATTCAGAGCTCTGTCTATACCATAGTTAATGTATTACTACCAAAATTGCTTTCTGAAATTCTGTTTTGGTGATACTGAAAAAATAATTGTTTTTTCTTTCTTACTTACTTACTTTCTTCCTTTTTTTACCAACAGGACACAAAAATCGCTTCATTGGAGCGAAACATAAGGGATCTTGAGGATGAGATCCAGATGTTAAAAGCCAATGGTGTGCTGAACACTGAGGACCGCGAAGAAGAGATCAAACAAATAGAGGTTTACAAAAGTCACTCCAAGTTCATGAAAACCAAGGTATGATCCAAAGTTATAAACTTTTATACTCTTAGTGTGACTGGAAAGTTATGGTTTATATACATACTTTCCCCAAATACCCACATAATCTACTTTATGTGATGTCATGAAATATATGGACAATAAGGAAGAATGCAGAAGGTTTTTAGTTCAGAGGCATAGATTCCAAAGAGAAATCAGGGAAGACCTTTGGTAGAGTTTCTACTTAGTGAGGGGTCCAGGATTTTCTGAGTTCCTTTGGTGTCCCTCTATCTTGGGAATTAACATTTATTTTTAATAGTCCTCTCTCTTCCAAATTTCCTGAGTTTTCAGAAGTTTACTATTTTTTAAAGTTTCTATCATTGCCAATTTTTTGGCCCATCCCTAGAAGGTGATTGTCTCAAAATGTGTTGATCTTGGAAGCCGATTTAACTGATTTCAATGGTATTAAGACATTTTGGGTTTAGTACAATGTTTAAGACAGAACTGATTTTGAGTCCCAGTGCTACTATTTGCCTAAATTATTCAACCTCTCTAAGCCTCAGTTTCTTCATCTATGAGATAGGGGGATAAAAAAAGAAAAGTACCTTCATCATTGGGTTGCTTTGATGATTCTGAGAGATTATGCATTTAAAGCACTTAGTCCCTTAACTTATCTCTAAAAAGCATTTAATAAATGTCAGGCGTTGTTGTTGATGGTGTTGTTATTATTGTTATCTGTTGCCATGGAATATTTATAAAATAATATTAATAATATTATTAAAATATTAACCTGTTTCATTAATTTATATCAGTATTGCCAGTTTTAAAGAATTTGGCTTGTACTTTTCAAAATTTAACTTTGGGCTGCAAATGGACCAAACACCTGAGTATCTATTATTTTTACAAATACATAATTATTAAATTGATGAATAGCCCCAAATAACTCTTTTGAGATTTTGAGATTTTTTTATTCCTTTATTTTAACCATTTTGCTTCTGAAAATAATAACCACACCGATTAACACATTTTTTTTTCTTTTCTCTACCACTTGCCCTTAAATATCCCTGTTCTTTTTCTAGGTTTTACTCTTGTTTGTTGTCTTATAAAATGCAGCAGATTTAAGAGTAATGCACAATTCTGTGAGAAAGCAGTGGGAGTGGAGAGAAAAAATGCTTAAATGATGGTTATGATTTTTTTTTTTTATCCACCCCTCCCAGGTTATGATTTTTATCAGTTGTGAAATACATGCATACTCTTTGCAGAGAATTTGCAAATTATAGAGAGGAAATAATAATATCTAGCATCTACTTCACCACGTATGTATGTATGTGTGTTTCTCTAGGGAAAAAAGCAAAAATTATGCTTACTTCTGCCAACTTTCCATCTGTAAGTTGACGCTGAGATTATGACAAAAAATTTGGATCGAGGAGTGGAGATATGAGAAGGAGAATGTCCAGTGGATTTGAATGTAACCCTTTCCTTTCAAGGACTGCCACAAGATGCAGAATGGCTTTCCCTGTGCAGCCCTCCTTTCTGGTTTCTTTTCTGCAGTGCCCCCTTCTCAGAGAGTTGAGCGTAGATGCAGCAAGCACAGTAGTAGGGTGGCCTGCAGACCATGACCAAATCACTCTGGGAATGAAGACTAGAGGCACAGATATTAGTGAACTCATGAAATTGGGGGAAATTTATTGTTTTGGCTTAAACTTTTCCTTCCCACCCTGTCATTTAACAGTGGGAGATAGTTCAAACCACTTCTACAACTGAAAATACCATGAAATTTGTAAACTCCATCCCTCACCATGAACTCTGTCCAGGTGAATAAAACATGTATATAGTTTTCAGCCCAAGCAAGTCATGACCTTTATTAGCCCACAGTTGTTTGAGAGACCATCAATCCTTGAGTTAATTTTAACTTTTAATGGCTAGTTATGTTTAAGAGTTCCAGAAGTGGTCAGGTCAGAAGAATGTTTTGAGGAGAGAAATGGAGTAAGGTAGAGAGTGGAGGCTGAAGACTAAAGCAGACTCTGGCAAATCTCTAGCCTGCCCTTGCTAGCTGCATGGCCTTGGGGAGTGACTTAAGTCACTCAACCATACTTCCCTCTTCTGTAAAATGGGAGCAACACCACAAACCTTACAGGGTGACTCAGTGGGTTAAATGAAATCATGTAGTTAAAGTGCCTGGCTCAAAAAAGTAGCTAATAATTATACCCATTATTATTGAGGCTGTATAACCAAATATAATAATGATGATGATGATGGTGATAATAAGAAATGTTATATTTAACTTGACTAATGGGGAAAAATGGATTTCTAAGAAATACCAATAAAAATGAGTTCTTATAATGTCATGAAGATATGCCTTATAGACTGATAAAAATTAGCTAAAAAGTACTAGTGAGAGTTAGTTTTTTATATTTTCTCTATTGAAAGAATATTCTTATTGGATAGAACCATAACATTTATTGCTCATACTTTGTATGATTACTTTAATTGCTTATTTTTCTTACTTCTCCTACTTTTGGATTCATTATTTAAGCCTGGGAACGGTTGAGCCGGTCTATTAAGACATAGCTATTGCTAAGCATTTAGTCCTGAGTGCCTGTGTTTTGTGCTGTGTGGGATCCCTTAGGTTGTGTTAACTGCTTCCAGTTGGGTGAATCATTTATCATGGAACTTGTTAAATTTTAGAGGCATGGATTGATATCCTTTAAAATTGGATCGCTAGCATAGTTCATGGTCCATTGTGGCCTATTTGGATACTTTTCTACAAAGTTTATATGAGTATGTTGCTTGTCAACATCATCACAGATAGCTGAGGAGTTAATTTTTGCAATAGTTGGTTACACGTGTTGACAGAACAATTGTTTAGTGTCATCATTGGAGTCTCTTGAACTCTTGCATGTATGCAGTGTTGTATGGATAAAGCTTTCAGTGATGGATTTTGAGCTCTGTGGTCCCCAAAGACTTACTAAACATTGTTTTTACCACGTGGCACTGAGCTAGTTACTGAGGGGCACCAAAAGTTGTGCATGTTCAAAGTATTTCCTACTTCCCAATACTGATCACTTAGTTGGGAAAGTAAGAAATGTACTCAAAAAACTATCCTGAAGATTTGATTGGAGGAGAGTCTACTTCTGTCTAGAGTAATGCAAGTTGTTCAGGTTTAGAGTTAATGTTTTTTGTCTAAATATTCAGATTGGCAAAACAGCAATGACAGGTCTGGTGAAGAGTGCCAACTCAAATCCACACCTGAGCAAACCTAGAAGGATAAGTAAAAATGTCATCCCACCCTAACTTCACACAGATAAGAAAGTAGGAAGAATTCAAGTCTATGTCAAATGAGAGGTTTTCCAAAAAAGAAAAGAAACATTAGATTTATTTATTTATTTTTTTTTTTGTGAGGAGGTCAGCCCTGTGCTAACATCTGCCAATCCTCCTCTTTTTTTGCTGAGGAAGACGGCCCTGGGCTAACATCTGTGCCCATCTTCCTCCACTTTATATGGGACGCCGCCACAGCATGGCTTGCCAAGCAGTGCGTCGGTGTGCGCCCAGGATCCGAACCAGCGAACCCCGGGCCGCCGCAGCGGAGCGCGCGCACTTAACCGCTTGCACCACCGGGCCGGCCCCGAAACATTAGATTTAAATTGCAAAAACCTAGATATTCTGGAACTTACTTGGGAAATAGAAATGTAATTGTTAAACTCATTGTGTTTATTGAGGCAATGATAGAAATGGAAATCATAAAGTGACTTTGGATCCCAGCTAGCAGAAAATGCTAGATTTGAGGCAGGGATAGTTGACTTTAGAAATTGTTGTTTTAATGGTTTATAAAGACGCAGAGTTGTGGTAGAAGAACATTTCAGAAATTCTTATGAAATGCTGCATAAAACGGGGAGTAGAGCTCTTTGGGAACCAAACCTGAAATTGCAGCTAAATATTGTTACCTTTTGCTGTTTGTAATGAATCTGGAGAAAGCTTTTGAAAGTGCCCCAGGGAACTCTTTTACGGGCCCTTTGGAGAGGCACCTTAAGAATGATCACTGTTTACAAAGGCACCAGGCTTGGAGGTGCTCTTTAATCTGAGTATTTCTTTAATAGACATCTAAAATGTGTTCTATCTTGATTATGTGGAAGTTTACTATTTTTTTTTTTTGTGAGGAAGATCGGCCCTGAGCTAACATCTGCCAATCCTCCTCTTTTTTTTGGTGAGCAATAGTGGCCCTGGGCTAACATCCATGCCCATCTTCCTCTACTTTATGTGGGACGCCGCCACAGCATGACTTGACAAGCGGTGCGTCAGTGCGCGCCCGGGATCCGAACCGGCGAACCCCGGGCCACCGCAGTGGAGCGCGCGCAGTTAACCGCTTGTGCCACCGGGCTGGCCTCACTATTTTTAAATAAAAAAACAAGATTAAGAAAAGTGCAACCTAATTGTGAAAAAAAAGTAGCTCCTAAAATTATTCACATATCCATGTTTTCATTTGTTTATTTTTTTGAGATTTTAGCTGAAAATTATTTTTATGACCCATTGGTGATGAAATTGACTCAGCATTTGACTCCTCTTCATTGACAGGGCATGGTCTCAAATCAGTCTCAATCTCATTATGTAATTATTTGCTCCAAATAGATAATAAAGGCAGCTAATAGTAATTCTTATATACACTCATTTTTAGATATAGAACTATCTTGAAATAGATAATTTTAAATGTTTTAATGAAAATTTGACATATAAACAATGTTGTGGTATGAAAAGGGAGTGCTGCTTGCATTAATTATTAAAATGAATAAAGCATGTAGGTTGGAGGGAAAGAAAATATTTTAAATAGCCATGTGAAATGGCATGCGCCTCCATTTTGATGCTGAGCAGATGGCTGCGACTGGTAGGGCATCTTGAAAGCTTTGTGATTAAATTAAGCAGCAGTGAAGACCTTAATTGCTTTTTATAAATATGATGTCATAGTGAAATCATGACATAACATTTTTGGAAATGTGAAAGGTGAATTGCAAAAATGTAAAAGCAGACTTTAAAATCTCAGCTTG